AAGTGTCGGTGGTCATATTTAACCACGGACGTCAGTGCCCATCTTAGCACTTAATTTCTTTTCTTAATTGAATCTGAGATCAATTGACATTTATCTTAGATGAATTAAATAAGAAGTACATACTTAGTAGAGATTGTGATTCCAAGTTTAAGTGCCACTAATTTAATATGTTACAGCAGCCACTACTGCAGAACAGCCATCAATCACTGTACCATTGAGTCATTTGAATTCATATCTATTTCAAGTTAGGCAACTATGTTGTGATATTTCAAATAAGATTGTTCCATCGGTTAACATGGAAATGTTAACATCAGTACTACAGAATCACTTCTGGACATAGTAGTGGTAAGCTTTTTACTCAGTAGAAAGGCAAACATAAATGCTTTTTTATAAAAATAATGTAATTTATAAAAATATGTTCAGTAATTTTTGTGAAAATTTCTCAGAATTTTAAATAATTTGAAATTTGATATTCTCAGTTATGAAGGCTGTGGTGTGAAATCATTTGAGGGATAAAAGACCACAGATACAAAATTAACAAAGGAATTAATAAAACTGTGCCATTCCTGAAGATGACATTGCAGGAAGGAGGAAGAGACGGCCCTGCACTCCACACATCAGAATGACAGGCCTGCTTTTATGCGTCAGTAGACCTAAGATTCCGTACCCCTCATCTCCAGAGTTACTTATGAATCCACTGGGGTGGAAAGATTTTGACTCTCAAATAAGCAAGCATCTAAAGAACAAACTGATAATATATACTTGAAAAGAGGGCAAATATACTTTTAAAAACTAGAGGGGTAAAAGTGTTTTTTTGAGAACTAAAGTAGTTAATAGTAATCAGCATTCATTCACTTAGTAGTTATGCATGGGCCCTGTGCTTGGTTGACACTTGGGAATGTTATAGTGAACACTATTGATGTGAGCCGAGCACTTTGCCTGGTAATCACAGTCTGTGTAATGCCAAACCTTGCTTTATTGCATTTTGTTTTATTGTGTCTCGCAGATACTGTGTTTTTGTACAAATTCAAGTTTTGTGGCAAAACTGCGTAGAGCAAGTCTTTCAGTAACATTTTTCCAGTAGCATTTGCTTAGTGTCTCCTTCAAACTTTTTCATTATTACTGTATTTGTTATGGTGATCTGTGGTCAGTGATTTTTGATGTTACTATTATAATTGTTTTGGGGTGCCATGAACTTCACCCATATAAGATGGCAAACTTTAATAAATGTTGTGTGTTCTGACTGTTCCACCGCCCAGCTCTTCCTCCATCTCTCTCTCTCCTTGGGCTTCCCTATTTCCTGACAAAGGACAATATTGAAATTAGGCCAGTTAATCTTACAGTGGCCCCTAAGTGTTCAAGTGAAAGGAGGACTGGATTGATTTGGCAGACTTCATTGTCTTATTTTAAGAAATTGCCACAGCCACCCCAGCCTTCAGCAACCACCACCCTGATCTGTCAGTAGCCATCCATATTGAGGCATGACCCTGACCCTCTACCAGCAGTAAGTTTACTACTTGCCAAAGGCTCAGTTGATGGTTAGTCTTTTTTAGCAATAAAGTTTTTTTAAATTAAGGTTATGTACATCGTATTTTTAGACATAATGCTCTAGTACAATTAATAGACTGCTGTATAGTATAAACATTTATTTGTACTGGGAAACCAAAAAATTGGTGTGACTCATTTATTGCCGTACTCCTTTATTGCGGTGGGTTGGAACAGAACCCACAGTGTCTCTGAGGGATGCCTGTGTTATCACATTTAATCCCAAGGACTGTGCTGTAAATGTTATCCCTGTTTTAAAAAATGAGGAAATTAAGGTTTAGAATCGTTAAGTAATTTACCAGTTACATAGAAGGTGGAGGCTGAACTACAGAGTCCTTTTTTTAAATTTACTTAATGTCATACTTGTCATAAAAACAAAGAAACCTAGGTTGATCTATCACATCAACAGACTAAAGTGAAAAAAAATCTCATGATTATGTAATTAGAAGGAAAAAAAGCATTTGACAGAATCCAACACCCATTTATGATAAAAACAGTAAACTAGGAATAGAGGGGAATTCCTCAACTTGATAAAGAACAAAGAATCTACAGCTAAGATCATACTTAATGTTGAGAAACTCAATGCTTTGTCACTAAGATCAGGTACATGGCAAGGATGTGTCCCCTCTCACCACTTCTTTGCAACATCCTCCTGGAAGTCCTTGCCAATGCAATAAGACAAGAAAAGGAAATAATAGGTATGCAGATTGAGAAGGAAGGTGTAAAACTGTCATTTACAGATGACTTGAGAGACTGTAGGAAATTTGAAATAGTTGACAAAAATCTCCCGGAACTAATAAGCAACTGCTGCAAGGCTGTAGAATATAAGGTTAATAGACAAAGGTCAGTTGCTGTCCTTTATACTGATGATGAACAAGTTCAATTTGAAATTAAAAACAAAATTCCGTTTACATTAGTCTCAGAATACTGAAATACTTAGGTATAAATCTAACAAAACCATATACAAGATACACCTGGGAAAACTTCAAAACTGATAAATGAAACCAAAGAATCAAATAGACAAGATATTCCATGTTCATTGGTAGGAAGACTCAGTGTTGTCAAGATGTCAGTTCTTCCCATCTTGATCTATAGAATCAGCGCAATCCCAATAAAAATCCTAGCCAGTAGTTTTGTGGGTATCAACAGAGTGGTTCTAAAGTTTATGTGGAGGCAAAAGACCCAGAATAGCCAACACAGTATTGAAGAAGAACAGGAGGAGGACTGGTGCTACCCAACTTACTGTGAAGCTCCAGTAATCATGACAGTGTGGTTTTGGTGAAAGAACAGACAGATTAAATGGGTGAGAATAGAGAGCCCCCCATAAATAGACCCAGCTCACCTTTGACAGTGGAGCAAAGGCAATACAGTGGGGCAGAGATACTCTCTTGAACAAATTGCTGAACAACTGGACATACACATGTAAAAGCGGGAATCTAGACACAGACATTACACTCATCACAAGAATTTACTCTAAATGTGTCATAGACCTAAATGTAAACTGCAAAGTTAGAAAACTCTTAGAAGATAACATAGAAAGCCTAGATGACCTTGGGTGTGATGATGCCTTTTAGTTACACCACCAAAGATACACTCCATGAAAAGAAATAATTGAGAAGTTGGATTTCATTAAAATCAAAGAGTTCTGCTATGTGAATGACAATAACAAGAGAATTAGCAGACGAGCCAGACTGGGAGATACCCAAAATATACAAGAACTCTTACTAAACTCAACAATAAGAAAACAAACAACCTGTTTTAAAAATAGGCCAAAGACCTCTTAATGGACACCTCACCAAAGAGGATATACAGATGGCAAATAAGCATATGTAAAGATGTTTGTTGTTATATGTCATTGGGGAAATGCAAACTAAAACAACATGATACCACTACCCAACCTTACCAGAATCAGGAACACTGGCAACCCTAAGTGCTGATGTGGGTATGGAGCAACAGGAGCTCGCTTACATGCCCAGTGGGAATGGGAAGTGGTTCAGCCATCCTGCAAAACAGTTTGGCGGTTCTTGTAAAACTAAACAAACTTTCACCACGTAGCCATCAATCGCATCCCTTGGTATTGACTCAGAGGAGTTGAAAACTTAGGTACACGGTGAAATCTGCACATGGATGTTCATAGCGGCTTTATTCATAATTGCCAAAAACTTGGGAGGAATCAAGATGCTCTTCAGTAAGTGGATGAATAAACAAACTGTGGTGCATCCAGACAACGGAATATTTTGCAGCGTTAAAACAGAATGAGCTATCAAGCCATGAAAAGGCATGGGGGAAACCTTAAGTGCATATTACTAAATCCAATTTGAGAAGGCTACACAGTATATGATTCCAAATATATTACTTTCTGGGAAAAGCAGAACTACTGAGACAATAAAGAGGTCAGTGGTTGCTGGGGGCTGGGGGATGCATAAGCAGAGCACAGGGATTCTTATGGGAGTGAAAACTATGATACTATAATGATGAATTTTGTCATTATATATTTGTCAAAACCATTGAATGCACATCAAGAGCGAATCCTTAGATAGACTGTGGACTTTGGGTGATTATGATGTGTCTGCATAGGATCATCTTCATAATAACTACACACCACTCTAGTAGGGCTATTGATAATGAGGGAGGCGATGCATGTGTGGGGGGGTACCGGGTTTATGGGAAATCTCTGTTCCTTTCAGTTTTATTGTAAACTTAGAACTTCCCCCCAAAAGAAAGGAAAACTAGTGAACATTTCTGTTGTTGATAGTGAACCCACAATGTATATCAGAGGTTGTTAAACTCGAGCGTGCATCTGAAGCACCTGGGGGCTTGCCAGCACTCTGGGTGCCATCTAAGTTTTCGTCCAGTGGGTGTGGGGCAGACCTGAGAGCGTGGGTTGCTAACACGTTCCCAGTCTAATGCTTGTCTAGGGACCACATTTGGAGAATCGCCACGTGTCTGGTTGTGCTCATCACACCCGTCATGTAGAACTAGGCCGAGCTGAGTCTTCCGTACCTTGATGAGAAGGTAGACATGGTGCTTATGTGGTGTTAATGCAGCTCGGGATGTTTTAATTCCTGTCATGCCTGTATTTATTTCTCAGCATTTGATAAGTAGAAACTTGTAAAACAATTAGGGAGGTGACTATTTGTTTACCATTTTGATATTTGTTATAACATGACATTATTGTGAGTTTGAACACAAATTAGCATAAAGTTTGAGGTTAATTTGTATTGTTTTGGACTTTCTGAAATGCTTTGATATGTCCTTTATACCTTTTTCCCCCTCCATTTTGATAGTGGTGTTCAACTTCTTTGTACTTGCGGTTGTTTAAATCAGTTTGTATTGACTTAGCAATTTTAAATATTAATACCCATGTGTGTAAATGTATACCTACTTAAAATAGGCAAAACAGTTGACTTAGCTATTTTAATACTAATCTATTTCACTTTTATTGTGTGTGTGAATACACACATTTTTAAAATAGCTAAAACAATATTGGCTTGTTTGAACAACTGCATTTCCAAGAACATACGAATTTATAACCTTTTCTCTAAAGGGTTTGAAGACATGATTCAGTCTTTTTATACAAGCAGAAAGAAATTTATCATTCTGTGGATTTTGCTTTTGCTTTTAGTATTTTAGCAACTAAAGTATATGCCTAATTAATTATAATGATGAAGATGAGCTGTCCATTCACTAGGATGAAGTTCTCATTTTCAAAAGACCTGAGTTATCTGGATTAATAAGGTGCTGCGGGGTCTGAGGATTCACAGCATTAGGTGGTTTATAAAAATTGGCGTAGTTCTGCGGAGCTTTTGATTATGGAACCAGTCATATTTCCTATTTATTGTCTTTGGACTTGGGTGAAGGGGAGAAAAAAAAGAAACTATTGGCTTAGCGGGAAAGGGTGGGAGATCCATACGCCAGTCGAGTTTTTATTTTGGGGATTAAAATTTTTCACTATTCCTATAGTGTTAACACCTGACACTTTGTCAGTGACTATTTGAAAAGTTGCAGATACAGACTTTCAGATTAATATTTCTAAATTTAAAGATGTCTTAATGTTGATTTTGGTTTTTCTAGAGAGGATCTGACGAACTACTCTCAGGTAGTGTTCTCAGTAGTCCAAACTCTAATATGAGCAGCATGGTGGTTACAGGTAAGTCTTACTCTTAACAGTCTGTCATTTTTGCCATTTTATGGAGCAGGATGTTAAAACTAAAATTTAGTCTGTTTTACCAGAATACCCTTTATTTTTAAATGCTTTCTGTTGACATATTTTAGAGGAGATTTTACTGGAGTATAAATGTGTCAAGTGGAAAAACCTGAAGGTGCTGACTTATGTGGGCAGGAAACTAAAGTCTGATTGCTTTTTAAATCACAAAAATAAAATCTTTTTTTCTTTCCTGTTACAAGTTCTCTCACTCTTACCCTTTCTATACTTTTGTTTTTAGCTTTTGTGTTTTGTGTGTCATAAAGTATTTTTAATTCCCTAGTTCACAAACCCTAAAGCCCAAACTATAAATAAGACCCAAAATTTCAGCTACATAGTTGTCTTTATTGTATGCTTTCAACCTTTTTTCTTTGCCGTAACAATATTTTAATTCTTTGGATTGATTTTTTTTTTTTTTTAATGTTATCTACTTGGAAATTTAAGATGATTTATTTACTCTTCATAGTTAGAGTTTCAAAAAATTGTATATGTCTGAAACAATATTGTTGATTTTTATGTCTGTAAACAAATGTAGACTAATTTTTAGACCTTAGTTTTATGGCTGGCAGACCAAAACTTTAATCTGATGATGATGGTGATTGGTTTAGTTTACCTTATAACCCTACACTTTACAATTTTTATTGAAAACTAAGGTTCCTGTTTTCTGAAACCTTTCCTGAGTTACTTGCTTGAGGAATTACATGTGTTCGGCAGTGAAAGGATTGTGAGACTGGGCGCATATTGATTTCCTTTAGGTAGCCATTGCTTGTATATACAGGCAGGCCTGATTTTTAGTGTATATCGCTTTATTGCGCTTCACAGATGTTGCATTTTTTTACAAATTGAAGGCAAGACCCTACGCTAGCACAAAAATTGTAAGTCACCTTATGCAATCCTTGCCTTATTTCAATACTTTATTGTGGGTTCTGGAGCTGAACCCACATTATCTCTGAGGCTGGCCTGTGCTTACACCTCAGCACACACATACACATTGCTGAAAATTCAGTTAAGTAAAAGTTATAATGAAGTATTTACCAGATACAGTCATAATGATATGAAGCTGAATTTGTCCACACAAAAAAATCTTTTTTGTTTACCCAGTATAAGTTTTCATATATACATAGAATATTCACCATGATAGGCCATAAATGAGGATATAAAGTAATTTTCAATAAATTTCAAGCGATTGAGAGCTCATATAGTACCTGATTATAGTGGAATTTAATAGAAATTAAAAACATTAAGAATTCTAGGAAGTTACCAAATATAAGTTGAACTACACAATTCTAACAACACATGAATCAAAGAAGATATAAAGACATATTTCTGACTGGATGAAAGTGAAAATATAATGTATCAAAATTTGTTGAATGCAGCCCAAGAAGTGCATAGGGGGGAAGTAGGTCTATACTTCTGATTGATACCTACCTACCTATATTAGAAAATATCCATATTAGAAAAAAGAAAGTTTTACAACTTTTATCAAGAAAAGGAAGAAAACATAAATTACCAATATTGGGAATGAAAGTGCAGATATTACTACAGGTCCTACACAGTGTAGAAGGAACATGTTATAAACAGTGCTAATGCCAATAAATTAGATGAAACAAATTCCTTTAAAATCTAATTTACCAAAACTGACATAACCTATCATTTCATAATTGATATAGATTAGTTCTGTATCTATTATAAAAACTGAATTTTTAATCTTTTCACAGAGCCATAGGCGGTTTTACTGTTAAATTTTATGAACTTCAAAGTAAAGAAATAATCACCATCATCAATATACTTCTCTAGAAAATAGAGGAGGGGATACTCCCTAATTAACTTTACGAAGCTACTATAACTGACAATACCTAACAGATAGGAAATCAAGACTTCATACTAATGTTTTTCATTAAGGTAAATGCAGATGTCCTTAACAGGTGTAAGCAAATTATATGTAGCATTATATAAAAGATAATTTATGATGACTAATTGAAGCTTACCTCAGTATTGTAAGTTCACATTTGAAAATGAACTGTTCATCACAATAATAGAATAAACGAGAAAACTTTTTATAAAAATATAGCATCCGTTCATGATGAAAATCTCTCGGAAAACTAGGGAAAGTTACAGTAGATGAGGTCTGCCTGGAGCCTACAACAAATTCCATTCTTAATGCTGAAATACTGAATGTTTTTATTAATAAGGAATGGAATAAGGATGTCCGTTTTCATGATTTTTTTGCTTTTGCTTATATTAAGGCGAGTAAAATAAATAAAAAGACTACAGACTGGAAAGGAAGAAGTAAAGCTGTCTAACTCGTGGTCAGTGTGAGTTTTAAAATAGGAAACCCTTGCCCGGCCGGGCGTGGCTCAGCGGTTGAGAGTCGACCTGGGATCCAGGCGATCGGGGTTCGATTCCCGGTCAGGGCACATGCCCAGGTTGCAGGCTGCAGCCAATCAATGACTCTCTCATCATTGATGTTTCTATCTCTCTCTTTCCCTCTCCCTTCTCTCTCTGAAATCAATAAAGAGATATAAAAAAAAATAGGAAACTCAAAGGGGTTTACAAAATGGTAGCACTAATAAGTAAATTCAAAATAGTTACAGGATTCAAGAGTTCATCTAAGCGAGAAACTTCTAATCAAAAGACTTTGTTAAGACAATTAAAAAGCAAGGCAGACTGGGAGAAAATGCTTGTTCACATACCAGTACCTATGTTTGACAAAAGACTTAGAGTCGTTAAAGAATTCTTCCACATCAGTAAATACAAACAGTCTGAGTTTTACAAATAGACAATAGAAGGTATATGAATGGCTAATGAGCCCATGAAAAGTCATCAGGAAAACACAAGTTATAACCAGTCTGAGATACTACTTCAAACCAACCAGAATCTAGGCTAAAGTTAAACAGTGACAGCGCCAAATGTTGATGAGGGTGTGGAGCAACTGGAGTTCTTCTCCATTGCTGGTGAGTGTAAAATAGTTTAAAACACAGCTTAGCAGTTTCTTATAAAGTGATGCATAAACTTTAGCCTCTGACCCAGTACTTTTACATCTAGGTTTTTATCCATATATGTACACTACATGACTTGTGCACATATATACACATATATAAATCTTCATTCACAGTGGGCCCATACTTGAAATAACCCAAATGTATGTCACCAGGAAGATGAATCAGTACACTGTGGTATAGTCATACAGTGGATGATCACTCATTAATAACAAGAGTGCCTGTTAATACACGTAGCAATGTGAGTGCATATTAGTAACTCTTCTAGGAAGCCAAAGAAGCCAGACACAGAAGGGTACATATTGTGATTCAATTTCTATAAAGGCAGAGAGCAAGTAATTTTTAGCATAGAAACCTAAACAATGGTTGCCTGTGGGTCTTGTGAGTTAACAGAAAAGAAGTACAAGGGGATTTTCTGTGGTGATGGACACGTTCTGTATCAGTTAACAAAGTTGTAAAACAAATACAAAATTTGTTGTAGGCCACCTCTGGGAACCATCAGACACTCATAGTTTTGTCTGCTGGAATGTGAAGTAGCGAAGGGCTGGAAGTAAGTCCTTGTAGGCATTGGTCCAGATACAGGATTTGATTTGTTATACTAAGAAGTTTGGGCTTCACCAGATTTACATTTTAGAAAAGATTTTTGTTGCATTTGTATTTTGTAGGGGGTGGAGGAGGCTTACTACTGTATGTAGGGAGGGCAGTTAAAAGCTACACTAATCTAGAGATAATTGAAGTCCTGTGATTTAGGATCTCAGAATATGGAGGAAACAAGGTGTCGAGAAATCAGAACATCTGAGTTAGTAGGAAGTAGACTCCTTTGGGAGAAATATTCAGAGTTTTGTTAGAATCTCTGGGTCAGTGGATGATATAGTCCCATTAACAAAGGGGAGAAGTGGAAAAAGAGATTTGTATTTGTTAAAAAGAAAGAATAATCTGTTACTGGACTCCCTCTTCCCACATTATCTCTTAGAGCTACCTCCCCTGCTCATCCAGTAGAGTCACTGCCACACCACCCTCTTCCAGGTCACTTCTAATCACGTCACTGTGTTAACTTTCTTCATAGCACTTAATCACTGTGAGAAATGTCATGGCTCATACTCCAGTTAGCGACCTCTCCCATGGGACTGAAGGGGAGCATCAGAGTCTCACTGGTCTTGCTCACGGCTGTGCGCCAGAGCCTGCAACATGCGACACACATTCTTAATACTCAGTACTGTTTAAACTGTCCACGTGGGAATGGATTTTGAGGACACTTAGAGATCAAGATGATCTTAGAGATTTATAAATATTGTTGGATGTATATTTTTTCATATATTGTTTATAGATAGTGTTGAATGTTTTGGGGAGTACCATGAAGTACCTGAAATTATTTACAAAATAGAGTCTACATGTATATTTCTCAGTGTACAAGGATTGAGCCTTCATTTTACTTTAATGCTTAGAGTGATAAGGTAGTCAAGTCCATGAGTGATTTATAGTATATACATGTTGCTAGCGATAAGATGTTTAGGTAGATTAGGTGGTAATATTAAATCAGCAGAGGCTCATGGGAGGTAAGCATAGTGTGGATTGACTACATAATTATTTTTACAGCATTACTTTTTTTGAGCCCACTTTTGGAATATATTTCCCAAATTGAACAATTTATAATTTCTCAGGTGAAAAAATAACCTTCCTAATTTTTGCTAACTCACAATTTTCACATTTTAAAAAATTTGATTAAATTGAAAAACAATTATGTTTTTTAGCCATTGGACACTTTCTTTATGAAATGACATTGTAATGTTTTTTCTTTACCACTTCTTTTTACGTATACTATTCAGCAACGTTTACCCAGTAGTAATCTTAATTGGTGGATAGGATTTTCTGTTTCTTTGAAATCTGTTTTTGAATTTTTAGGAATTCCAGTATACTCAGCTGTGTTTTTAAGTTCTTTTATAAACATTGTTTTGTGTTTTTTAATGCAGATAAGGAAAATTAATAATGAAGACTATTTTCTAATATCTTTCAGCCAATGGTAATGACAGTAAAAAATTCAAAGGAGAGGATAAGATGGATGGTGCCCCTTCTCGTGTTCTTCATATTCGAAAACTCCCTGGTGAGGTGACAGAAACTGAAGTCATTGCTTTAGGCTTACCTTTTGGGAAGGTGACCAACATCCTTATGCTGAAAGGAAAAAATCAGGTATACGTCTTTCAGGACCTACAAAATGTTAGGCCCCTAACTAGTCAGCAGGTGTGAATAAAGGGTAGGCTGCAGCAGGTCCCTTTCTGAAAGAGGGAACTGAAGTCTGGTTCTTCCTGCTAGTGGTGCTCCGGGACTAACGCCTGGGAGCTAATGGACGGCTCACTGTAATTTTAGTTCTCCTTTTGAGTTCACTGTGAGACTGAGCAGTTGCTACAGTGAGGTTGTGGAAAATACAAGTGAAGTACTGTACTTCTTTTCTTGTGGCTCTGTCCTTTGTAATCTTCGAATTCAGGGGCACTAGTAGCATCTTGGTTCAAGCTCATTCCATGGAAAGACTTCCCTGATAGCATTAATCTAGATACACTCACTGAATGGATGTGCCTGTCACAGTAGGGCCCCGGAATAGTAAAAATCAAGTTGTTTTAAAATTCTAAAACCATTTGGAAGAACTTCAGAAATTTAACATGCTCTTAAATATTAATGCTACTACTACTAATCTGACATTTAATTTTTAACTTTTTCTTTTGTCTCTTAAATTACACTGCTTTAAAAATGACTTTGAGATCTCTCTCTTGCTCTCTTTGTTAGGAGCAGTAAAATTCTGATGCTAGAGAATGTTTAGATTTCTTTTTCTGTAGCTTTTATTAGGGAACTACATTTGTGGTAGTTGGAAAATCAGGTGGAAGGCAGAAGTACCATGTACACAAAGAGCTTTCTTCTGAGGTTAGCTTTAATTGTGTACCTAACCTTCAATGAAGGATTTCCAATTCTGCTTGTTGGAGCATCTAAAGTAACTCAAAAGGTTATAGTCTAGATACTGATTTTTCTAATTAGTTGAATAGATTAGACAAATACTAAAGCTTATTTGAATTTAATTCATAGTATTATAATTTTGCATATAAATTTTCAGGCATTTTTGGAACTAGCAACAGAGGAAGCCGCTATTACTATGGTTAATTACTATTCTGCTGTGACACCCCATCTTCGTAACCAGCCGATTTACATCCAGTACTCCAATCACAAAGAACTGAAAACAGACAATACATTAAACCAAGTGAGTATGTGTAGGTACATCAGTGAAATGACCTGCAACATATTAAGGATCTCATAAATATATTAACAGAAAATAAAATTTTTAACCATTCTTAAGCTGTTTCTATGGGTATTTTCATGACATTTTTTTGCAGTATGTCCCTAAGTGTTAAGTATTACGTTTATTTATAAAAAGTATGTGTGATCTCTTCATATTTTAAATTAATAGTAGGTAAATTAGTTAAGTAGCATTTTTACTAATTATTAATTATTAATTTACTAATCAGTAATAGTGTTTTTACTAATTTTTATAGTAAATTGGTTAAATAGTATTTTTTCATTGTTTTTAAGGTCCTGGTCAAAATGTTCTTTTTCTCATTACAAGTTAAAATTTTTGTATAGGGACTGTTTATGAGGTAGGACTTATTAGCATAACCTATTTATACAACTCTGGTGCTTGGACTTCATGAGTTTAATGCCTTTGGTTATTTGACTTTTTATAGGTCTTAATTTCTTATGGAAAAATTTCTATTGAAGATGTGTTAATGGTTTCCTGTGCTAGGGGGGGAAATGTTATGAATTGAGAATTTATGAATGTATTGATCTTTTAAAATTTTGATGTAGAAGATATACTAATTTTACAAACACATTAATTTTAAATAAGAATGGTTTTAGGCCTTAAATACGTAGTCTGTAGTAATGATCTAAAAACTTTAGTTCTTTTAATACAGTATTTAGCTGATTATAGTTTCCCTTGTGCTATGTGTTCACTCTGTCTTGTCCATTTGGTTTCATTCATTTTGTGTTCCAGAAATTGATAAAAATTATTCTTAGCCAACGATGACATTTCTCATCAGTATTTGTGTTTATTCCATTTTGTATTCATTTAATAGGCATTTTAATAGGATGTCATAATAGAAGAGAAGCCAGTGAGTGTGTCATTCACGAATTCCTCCAGAACCCTTCCTCAGGCCACCCAGTCCTATTAATCCACTCTTGTTAACATCTGCTTGTTACTGTCATCTTTCTTGTTACTGTCAGTAGCTCAGACACCACCACCTCTTAGCTCTTACTGTACTAAGTAATTACCATGTTTCAAAACGTTGGGTTTCAATTAGTCGCTTTAGCTAACATGTTCACAGGTCATCTTAAATAGCATTTAAAAAGATAAATATGATCCCTGGTTATATAGTATTTCAGTGAAATGACCACCCCCCCTCAGCTTTATTGAGATGTAATTGACATGTAACACTAAGGTGTACAACCTGTTGATTTGATACACGCATATATTGCAGTGATCACCACCGTAGTGTTAGCTAACATCTCCCAAAAATGTAACACTACAGATTTGTGTGTCATCTTCGCAGGGCAGCCATGCTCATCTCATTCTAATTATAGTGTATGTACCTTCAAAGCAGCCCTGACCACTCTCGTTTATCCTCATGCGTGTTTAATTCTTCCGGGTTCTCCTTCCTTTTTGTTCATCACTGTGCTCTGTGGTCCTGTTCATCTGCCAGTACAGCTTTTTTTAAACTTTAAAGCCATGTAGAGGTATTTGTCATTGTTGCATTTAACAATTATTTCCTTTTATAATGATTTTTTGACCCCAGATAAGGTGGAAAGAAATTTTCTTATTGGTGAATCTGTCACAGTAATAATAGGAACAGCATAGTGGCTGTAGTAAAGGCAGTCATTTTGGAGCATTTAACATATGATTTAGTTGACAAATTTCTGCAAAATACTGTACTTCCTCAATTCTGTATGTATATTTTTTCACATTTTAAAATCTCAGAAATAAAGATGTGTGTTAGTGTTCAATGTCATGGTTTATTAGCAATGTCTTAATAGCCAAACATAAAATAATAGTGCACCTTACCTTTGATTGTGTATTAGGTACCATAACATGTATGGAAAATGTCTTTCATATTTTATCCTGAAGTGTTCCTGAAAATGCAATGCTTTTAAACTATAGTGTACATCAATTTTCTAGAAGTTTTGGTGTCAGAAGTTATACTATTATGAAAAAAGACTTAAATTGTGTTGTGAATATTCTTCTTTTAAGATTGTATTAGAAATAAGATTTATGGGAAATCTTTTGGATAAGAGAGTAGAGTAACCCCCTAGAAAGTAACCCCCTTCTTAAGGTTTCCCATTTGCCTTTATAACACAGTGAATAATGTTAGATTGAGGCTTTAGCTTCTCTAAAACTCCCATCTTAACCTTTTTCGGAGTAAATTACATTGCCTGTCTTGGCCTGTTCAGCATTGGTCCCAATGCTAGATGATTATTTTGAAGTAAATACCGGAATATTTGAATTATAAACAAACAGTGCCTGGCTCAAAAGGATTACTTGAGCGTTAAATTTTATTTATATGTCTTTTAGAAAAGAAATGAGCTAATAGTGTAACATGTAGCAAAATGTAAGTGAAAAGACTGGGTGTGTTTCCAAAGTACTTGTCTTTGCATTTCAGCGTGCCCAGGCCGTCCTCCAAGCTGTGACAGCCGTGCAGACGGCAAACACTCCTCTCAGTGGCACCACTGTGAGTGAGAGTGCAGTGACCCCCGCCCAGAGCCCTGTGCTCAGAATTATCATTGACAACATGTACTACCCTGTGACCCTGGATGTCCTTCACCAGGTACGTGAGTCTGAATTTGCATGTCAGCTGGTAAATTGGAGAAATAGTAATATAGTAGATAATGTTTTCCTTTTAATGTTTTACCAGATATTTACTAAGTTTGGTGCTGTATTGAAGATAATCACATTTACAAAAAATAACCAGTTTCAAGCTCTCCTCCAATATGGCGATCCAGTAAATGCACAACAAGCAAAACTAGTAAGTCTAGAGTTTTTTTTGAGATGTGGTATTTTTCCAAGGCGGATATACATACATTTATGTATAGCTAGTGTTAATACTGGTGTAGCTTAGCAACACTGTGTATGTAGCTTTATAGAAGGCCTAGATCGGTGCATTAGGATAATGTTAGAAATGTGTAATGTTTGTGGTAGAACAGAAATGTTTATTTTTTAGGATCATCATCTGTAGTTATCTATAGGCTTATATTATTTTGCATTTTTGTTTGATTTAGGTCAAAAAGTTTTGTGCTGTTAAGGAAATAGGATTGTATTGCGGATGCACGCCTGTGTTAAGACTTAGGTGTTTTCCAGTGGGACTTAAATACAGCAATGCACATGTGCTTCAGATGCTGTGATAGGCTCTCAGTTTATTTAAGACTATACCCAGTGTTCTTTTTAAAGATTTTCTTTAAGAGATGGGTTTTCTGAATAGGTTCCTAGTCTACTTTTCATTCACATCATTTACATTTTTGTGGTTGTATGTGGTGGGTAGGAAACTATTAGAAGTAAAGTCTTGTATTGCCATCTAGCAAAAAGTATGTGTAGCATATATGTGTCATATCATGCAGCTATCAGGGTATTACTTTGGTAGGACTATGTTTTGTGACCTTTGTTTTTTAAAATTAAATTATTTGCAGATTTTAAAAATTGAAAGTATTCATACCTGTACTTAACTGGCTGTATGTTAGATTTAAGCAGCACTTTCTCTTTCAAGAAGTAGTATTTGTGAAAACTAGTTCACATATAGCTGGGAGAGCAGAGAAAGAAGGGTGACCTTTGATCTCTTTCCTGGTGGCTCTTACGTGCAGCATTTCATTGTTGGGTTTAATTGTCAGAGTCGTACCTTTTGCTGATTTTCATTCCATAACATTGCTCATATACTTTATTCACTCTTACAGGCCCTAGATGGTCAGAATATTTATAACGCTTGCTGTACTCTAAGGATTGATTTTTCGAAACTTGTGAATTTGAATGTAAAATACAACAATGACAAAAGTAGGGATTATACTCGACCTGACCTCCCCTCTGGGGATGGACAGCCTGCATTGGACCCAGCTATCGCTGCAGCGTTTGCCAAGGAGACGTCCCTCCTAGGTATGATTTCTATTGTCTATACCACTTGTCCCTCATTTGCCAAGTGGCAAAGTGCCTGTTAAACTCTAGTAAGTACAGTGAGCCCCCAATTTGGAATTTAAGAAATTGTGTTACATTTTATTTTTCTTGGGTGAGAAGCCATATGAGTTTATAACGTGTTCTTCATAAATTGTATTAAAATTACATCAGTTATGTCTTTCACCACCCTCTCCTTCTGTCCCAAGTTAGAAGAAGAAAAGCTCGATGGAGACCTACTGTTGAGCTCTTCATGAGCTGTTTACACTTCAAAGTTGATGTCACGCTGTCTAGGACTAAGGCTAGGTCCAGGCCCCTTGTGCATATGCTTTAGAGCTAACCTGATTGTTTTCATTCAACACGGCATAGAAACAGTGACATGTTAACATGGACTGGGAGGGAGACGTATTATATACCCTGTCTTTTAAAAAAATTTACACTGGAAAGAATTTTCTCTAAAATTGGTTTAGGTATTTATTTATTTGATTTCACCTGTTCTATAATGGATTTGCCCCACCTAACAAAAACAGTGCAGAAGCTTGCAGCTGATAGTTGATGGAGTCAAGATGAAGAAAAAATAAGGGAAAGTGTTATTTTGTAAGTAAAATGAAAGCAGTTACAACTTAAGATGAAATCGTAGTTTCCTTTTACCTGACATGTGTGGGAAATTCTTGATTTCTGGCATTTGTAACGTTCTCTTTTAGAGTTTCTATCCATATGGAACCAAGATTGAGGAGTCTCAAACCAGCTCTTAAGGTTAAGTTTATGTCCATCAGTTAAAAAAAGAAAAAGCATTAAAATGCAGTAATTCTTGAAAATATTTACTGTGAATATGTAACACTTGACTAGCCATTTGTAAATATGTAATATAAGTGATACATCTATGAGTAGAGAAATTTAATGCAGGAGAAGCAATTGACATTTGAAATTAATTCTGGTGACTTCGGACAAAACTGACCCTTTGTTCTAAATTTCTTCTACATCTAGCACAAGCCATCCTGGTTATCCTGATGATAATAGATGCTTTGGGCTGATAATGTTCTATCCTGACAGACACTCTGTCACTTTATGGGTCTAGTTTAAGCCTTTATTCCCTCAATTCAGCTTATAAATTGATACTATTTCAAATGTATCATTGTTAAAGGTAAAGTTGAGAGAAATAATGAGTGATAGTGGCCTTTGCTTATAATTATTACCATAGATTCTTAAGTTCTTTACTGATAGAAATTGTATTATATTGGTGAGAGAGAGTCAGCGTTTATTGAGTAGCTTCTAGGTCCTGGACGTTCTGCTGGGGACTTGGCAGGCACATTATTTAATCCTGAAGGTGTCAGATGAAGGAGAAGGCGATTCCAACATCAGGAAATGTGCAAAGAAAGTGCGAAGGATTAGGACCTTTCTGAGATGATTATTTTTTAATTAAAATTTTTTTTTTGATTTTTAGAGAGAAACATTGGTGGGAGAGAGAAACATGGATCAGTTGCCTCCTGCAGGTGCCCTGACTGACTGGGGGTCAAACCCTCCACCTTTTGGTGTCTGGGAGGACACTGCAGCCAACCCAGCCACACTGGCCAGGCCGAGATTATTTTTAATTTTGGTAATTAATTATAATTAGCTCTCCAGTTAAGTTTTTTTGGCTTAGTAGGCTCTGAGAATGATCACTTCTCGCCCATTAGAATTGAAAATGAAACTAGATATTAAACTGATTTTAATGTTTTATTGTGGAAAAGAGCAAATCAAATGGCTTTGGTGGATTTTTAAAAATAGGTTTATATTGTTAAAAGGGAATTTGAGGGTTGATAGTGAATTTTTATCTCCTCTGAGAGTGTATGTGTGAGTGAGAGAGATCAACTGGATCCCATCAATACCAAGGAACTTAACAGAAGTTTAAGGTGACTTTTTCTACTAAAAGATATCCAATTAAAGGCAGGGAGATAAGCACTGACCATGTAATGCGTAGTGTAGGTTCCACCACTGTGAATTGTGGTCTCAGCTTTAGTTGGACACTGTGCATTCAGCCACAGCTGTGTGGAGAAATAATGCTTAAGAAAGGAGGGAGGGGGTCACTTTCTGAGAGAGTGCAGCTACTGCGAGGGTCTGTCTCAGAGTTGAGAGTCTTTATACTTGACATTGGCATCAAATGAAGATATCCACTGAACGTTAAATGGCAACAACCTATATGTGTAGTGAGAGCTCTGGTGTTTAACGTGGAGAAGTGATTGATGCAGTCAAGATCCCCACTGGTGGATCCAAAGAGGCACTGAAGTGTACTGTGCATAAGTAAGTACTAGACACGAGAAGTCTCTCTTTTAAAATTAGGTTCTTTCTGGGATTTACATGAGAGATACAGTGGGTGTGTGGATAAAACAAGATTGGCTCTAATTATCAGTGTAATGGGTGCATGGGTTTCATTCTTCTAGCCTCTGCTTTTGTATATCGGAAATTTTCCAAAACAAAAAGTAAAATCTAAAAAAGAAACGTGGAGAAATCAGCAAAAGGGGGATTCCAACACATGGTGTGGGCCAAAAGTCATAAACTCATCCAGAGCACTAGCTGACGAGTTCTCAGAGAGAGAGGGCAAGACAACCCTGATGGAAGGGAAGTTTTCAAGTCAGAAACTAAAGAGGTTAGAACCCTTCAGACTGACTGTGGAAGGTCATAGTAGCTTCTGAAGTAAAAAGATAAAAACTTGGCTAAAAGAATAAGGTATCTAAAACGAAAGTTGACAGCACATCCCTGTGGCATACACAAGAAGGCTGGAAAGAGAAGAAGAAATAGAACGTCAGCTTATGGGACCACAGTGCTAAGGGCCAGTTCTACCCAGGTATGTCTAAATTAACCTCATTTAGGTTGGCTTTTTTTAATTTATTTTTTTATCATGAGAAGGAGAAAAAGAACATTCATTTCTTTAGTGAACTAATGTTTACTGAGAAGCTGGTGTGTAAGAATTTAAGGGATGAAGGATTTCAGTTCATTGGTCCTTGAAAAGTGGACAAAAGATGCTGAGACAGAAGGAAATCCTCTAAAGAAATGACTGAAGGACAGCAGAGAACGGCAAGTAGGACAGGAGTAAGGAAGGGTAAGACCAGGCGGAGGGCGGGGAGCACCGAGGAGGCGCCGAAGCAGTGGCGCCGGCTTCTCTTTCTACCTGGAAGCCGTGTAGTTGGGAGACTCACGTTTGTTGTAGCGACTTGAGGGAATTAGGGCATATTTGGTAAGATTGTCCTCCAGGCCCTTTGAATTAAATAACGTTCAGGGTAATTTATAGCATCGATTTTCAACCTTTTCCATTGTATGGCACCCATAAACTAATTACTAAAATACTACGGCACACCAAAAAATGTATTTTTTGCCAATCTGACAAAAAAATAGAATTTTTATTCATTCACACCGGACGGCTGTTATATTAGCTGTTGTCATTATTATTTTATTCAACAGTCTAAGGGAACAGAGGTCAGTGCCCCTGACTGTCCGGAATTGCATGTAAACATTCTCGTGGCTCACTGGTTGAAAATCTGGTCTACAGGAGCTACTGGTTTTATGAGCTGTGATTGTTTGGTTTCAGGTGTGAGTTTATGAAGATAGCACTTGTGTAAAAGTGTGAGTTGCTATGTTGAAGGTGATTTTTTAGATGAGGCTTCTCGCTATAAACCATGGGAGTGAATTTTTCAGGTCTCCAGCTTGGACGAATTCTATCACTTTAGTTTGCTTTTCCATAGGAAATGGAATATTTTATATTTGATTTTTTAACATAATACAGCTGTGTACCTTAGTTCTGATATGTAATGATTTCACTGAAGCCAGTTGTTTTTCTGTAACGACTCCATATCAGCGAACCATTTTTCTCAATGTTACGAAATTAACTTTCAGGAACCACGTGGAGTGCTCAGCCCCAAGTCCTGCCGCCTTCGTGCTTAAGTTGGTGTTTGTAACGACTTGTGTGTGTTTCGTAAAATACGCTTTATTTTAAAATTAGGGCTTCCTGTTGCAGCTGTTCCAGGAGCTCTGAGTCCTCTGGCCATTCCAAATGCTGCGGCGGCTGCGGCTGCGGCTGCAGCGGGCCGCGTGGGGATGCCCGGAGTCTCCGCCGGCGGCAACACAGTCCTGCTGGTTAGCAATTTAAACGAGGAGGTTAGTGGCCTGGTCTTGTCCTGTTCACCCTTTAGCTCCATTTCATCCGTGGAAGTTGTTCATGTTTATTTCATTTTGCACTTGCCTTTCTTTTTTATGTACATTCATTAGTCAAAGTATTTTTTGTATGTTTCTATTTCTGAATAAAATCTTATGTACTTGTTTAAGTAATACTTTATTTCCTTAGTCATATCTCTTTAAATATATACATATTTTTTAACCTAACTACCTATTTTTCCTAAGAAAAATATGGTGAAGTACAGTAGTTTGGCTTTTTATCTTTTTGTTGTTCTCAAAGGCAAGCGTAATAATCCAGTTGCAGATTTAACTGTGAGACAGTTTTGCTCTTTGCCTTTTTTAATTATTTGCTTGTTCATTTCATGCTTATGTGTCATTGCATTTTTTTTAATCTTATTTTATGTGAACTACTCTAATGCGTTTTTCTTTGAAGGTTCTCCCAAAGATCTTGCCGAGGCACTCTTCCAGCCTTCCTTAGTAATTTTTCTTTGCAGTTATTAGTCATTGTCTCCTAAAAATATTTTTCAACTTTATCCCCCCCTTGTTAAATAAAATGTATTGTTATTTTTTTAGTTGTACATTTTATGTCTGATATATTTTATTTGATTGCTATGAAAGCTGGTATGAAATGTGGGAGGCTCAGTGTATCAGTTTACGGTGTCTAATTTGAATATTTGTTTCATTTTTAATTGGCCTCTGTTAATACGAACATTAAGCTTATTTTACCATTTAATACTATTGTCATTCACAGTTGTGCATGTTAAAATGTTTGAATCAGAGTGCCTTTGTTTTTCTTTTAAAAATTTTGCCTGCATTTCATAACCAGCCATGCTTATGCAGTTGAAGTTCAGAGTTTAAGTCCCTGTGCATGCTCTCCTTCCCCATGTTGAGATGAAATGCTGTAATTTACTCTTTGATGTAGATGTACTTTACCCATATTTGTCTTGGATGACTACATTTTACTCAGTTTTTCTTGTACAGTACATAAACCAACCATTTTCTGACCAAATTCCTGCATTTCCTATGTACTGACCTATATTTTATTTTTTTTTTGTTCCCCGATTCCTTATTTTTTTCTTCTGCATTGCTGTTTCCCTTCCCCATTTCATCTTCTCCCTGTGTGTGCACCTTCCCTCTCCTTGTCTTTCCAAACGCCCATTCCCTCCCCGTCTGACCCTTTATTCTCCTTGTCCTTGTCTTCATTCCCTGTCTCCATTCCCTCTGTTCATGCTTCTGTGCTTGAACAAATGTTCCTCGGACCAACTTGCCCCAATTAACCGCCTTGAACCATGATCCATGACCACCTCACCATTCTGCGGGAACCACCCTTCGTTATGGATGATCTGTTCATCTCCGCTCTTCCTCGACTCTTCTCTCTTCTTGTCTTACGCTGCTTGCTCTTCTCTCCTTCTAAAGATGGTTACGCCCCAAAGTCTGTTTACCCTCTTCGGTATGTTATTGTTAGCACTATACTTTTATTATTGATTTGATTTTGGTTTCACCTTAATTCTTATTTGTAGCTAGCACTTTGGCTTAAAGTTGAATAGTAAATCTTTTGCTATTTTTCTTTGCTATTTAAAACTCTCCATAGACACAAAGTTTGTTTTAATGCATGCCGATTTATTTTGCATGGTCTTTAATGTCATTCACATAGCCTTGAGGGTTTATCAAAATTTGTTCTTTTCAGAATTCACTGTTCAGAATCTTGATCTTTCTTTATCCATTTGTGAGAGTGATGAGTTTGAATGAGTGATCATGTTGGCGTCTGAATGTTTCATTAATATGTCAGAAAGATAACCTTTAGCTGACTTGCACATAAAATTAATTCCATTTTTGGATTACCTCTCTGTGGCTCCACAAAAGGTGTTTATGGCGACGTGCAGCGTGTGAAGATTTTGTACAATAAGAAAGACAGTGCTCTGATCCAGATGGCTGACGGCAACCAGTCACAACTGGGTAAGGCGAAGGCTGTGTGCTCACCTGTCCATGTTCGGATCTGACCTCAAATAGCTAATGCAAGTCTGTGAGTAAAGAAAACCTTTAAGTCAGTGAGAAACTGACCAGTGGTTACTAGACACTCATGACTTCTTTTTAAATCAGAGAATTAAGATTTTTAGACTTTTAATTTTGCTTTGAACTTTGTTAAAACTTAGGCATTGTTTCTTTTTTATAGCCATGAACCATCTTAATGGACAGAAAATGTATGGAAAAATTATCCGTGTCACTCTGTCTAAACATCAGACTGTGCAGCTACCTCGGGAGGGACTTGATGACCAAGGTCTCACAAAAGATTTTGGTAATTCCCCATTGCATCGTTTTAAGAAACCTGGATCCAAAAATTTTCAGAACATTTTTCCTCCGTCTGCAACCCTTCATCTGTCCAATATCCCGTAAGTAGTCAAGCTGATGTTGATGACGATGGACCTTTTAGAAATGAAGTATAAAATTGATTAATACCTTTTCTTGTTCGTTCTGCTCCAATTTCCCTAGCCCTTCAGTTGCAGAAGAGGACCTGCGAACACTGTTTGCCAACACGGGGGGCACTGTGAAAGCATTTAAGTTTTTTCAGTAAGCAAACTCTCTTGTCTTTACGTGGGTGGCTGGATAGAAGTAGAAGTTCCCTCCAAGTAGTTCTTACCCTTTCTGTTTATGGCGAGGGCAGAGTTCAAGGATGTAGTTAAGCCTTTCCTAGTTGTAGGAAGTATCTAATTTTATTCTTTTGTTTCAGAAGAGATCACAAAATGGCCCTTCTGCAGATGGCCACAGTGGAGGAGGCCATCCAGGCCCTGATCGACCTCCACAACTACAACCTGGGGGAGAACCACCACCTGAGAGTGTCCTTCTCCAAGTCCACGATCTGAGGCGATGGAGAGCGGAGGGGGTCGCAGTGTGGTGTCATCACCTAGTGACTGTTCAGAAAAGTGGGGACCAGAGTTTGATTTTTTTTGTTTTTTGTTTCCTTTTTTTCCTCATGCTGTTACCATTCCTTGGTTCTAAAACGAAATGGCGTATGTAAAGCAGGGCTACCAACTGCTGAATTCCATCTGTTCATAGGAAGCCATTTTTACTGTCGAAAATTTCAGTTCCATTTTCCTTTCCTTTTTCAGCTTAGTTGACATACGTGCCTTAAAGGAAAAGTAGTGTTGCTGTTCTGCATCTACTAGGAGGGGGCTTGTCTCGGGCACATTGTTACGTGGGGTTACACTAGGGTTAGGCAGGGGTGTGTAAAAAGGTTAAGTTTTTGTTTCTCCTGCTTGGAACTTACTTTGAATTACTGGCTTGTCACATTTCTTTCTAGTTTATCAAATAAGATACAGGATATTGAAAGAATAAAGCAGCATTTTTTAGTTTTACTACCTTAGGCTTTATTGCTTTAAAAAAACATTGGCCTTTTGTATCTCACAATTCTGGTCTAGATTCAGTTATGAATGTAGGCATTAGTTACATTAACAAGATGCAGAGTATTAATTTCTGTAAGTTTGAGCCCTACGTGGAAAGCATTGTGGAACCTTAACCTTTTGTACACGCTCTTGTGGGACGCGTCATATAACTAACTGTCAGCACTAAGTACTGTCTTGTTTGTGGCTGAATATTTTTCGTAGATGTTTTTGAAGTTGACATGACTTATGTGCATTTAAATATATATTGCCATCCTTAGTTTGTAATTGAGACTTGGACTATGGTTGTGGATTTCTGAGCATGTGAAGACTGGTCTAGCTAGTTCAGGAACCGGTGCATGTATTTTTCAAAGGTAAAGCAAGTGCACTGCAAACATTTGCAGGAAGATTAATTTTGTGGCAGTTTTCTAAAACTGACAACCAGGTGGGACCAAAGTTTATGTGCCTTTAGTCTTAATTTACCTTGCATTGTAATATTCAGTTTTAATAAATCTTCAAAATATTTTGTATTTAGGAATAGATCTGACTTTAATAAAAACATGGCTCAGAATCTACAGGTCAAATTAATTTGAACAGTTCTTGTCGATCTGAATTGTTGATTCTGTTTAAATGACCAATACTTTTTTGAAATTGATGTACTTAGTTTCAAGATTCATAGATTCTGTTATCTATGTAGACAGAATGGTCATGTATATTTTCTATTAGTTGAGTTTTTACATCTTTAGAAATGTAAAATTCAGTATAGTTTGAAAGCGGCACAATTAAAAATTACTTTTCTAACAAAGTCGGGAGGTTTGATGGTGGTCTACTTTCCTTGTGTGTACTCTGCTCACCTCTGTAGCATGCTCAATAAACACTCTGCAGCTCTGTACTCACCTCTGTCTCTCTCTGCCTCTCTCCTCTCTCCCTCACTGTGCTGCTGATGTCCTGTTTACTCTGCCAGGGTGGGAAAGGAGCAGTGGTGCCCAGTCCAGGGCTTTATTCCACAAATAAACCGAGATGCTGTGAAAACTCACTAGCGGGTTCTTCTTAAAAGATGGTGACTGCTTCCCAGGAGAACACGGAATTAACATTTCCCACCCTGTTATAATCTGCTGCTTAAAGACCGACTGATGGTAGCTGGTGTTGTCGTCTCCCGGTAGATGAGTGCAGTGCAGCCCTCTCTGGCTGCCTGGCCGTGCTCTCTGGCAGTTTCCTCTTCCATCCTTTCTGTCTGCTGAAGGTCTCCTACTCAGACAGCCCTCCTGAGCTTTAATAGCACTCGATGTTGGGAAGACAAGGCGACCTGTCCTCTACTTGTGCCTTGGGTGGGATCTTCTCACCAAGATACACATTCAGGTATTTGAAACTTAATGGTAATTTATGATTTCACCACTTTCACTTTTTAAAGGATTCTGATTAAGGTCCTATTTGTATTACTCAAAGTATTTTAGGTCACATTTTTCAAACAGGTGTATTGGTGTCAGATAACCTCAGAGTTAAACATGTTTCTTAGGTTGGTTCTGTGATAAAATAACTCAATGCAAATGTGTGTAGGCGAGGAGAGAGAGGGACTTGGGGGGTGTTGGAGAGGACTGAACAGGAGATGGTCTGAGTGTCTGGATGGGGTGCGGGTGTAGAGGTTGCCCCTCTCTGTCCAGATAGATCGAGTGCTCACTGAGGGCTGGGGTCAAGTCGGGTTGGTTACGCTCCCAGAAGCCCAGAGGAAGAAAGGAAGAGAGGGACACTGTCACTGTGAGTGGGTGTCTGCGTTAGAACTTTTTCCCCTTTTCTATTTTAGCTTCACAGAGTGTTTTTTTCTTTACTCATACATTCTCTGTTCAATCCAGCACAGAGTACTTTGGAATGTGACTTCTGAGGTGTATAATACTGTAGGGTTTTCACCAGATGTACCAAAAAAGGCTTCGCACATCAGCGCTCACTCTTCAGTGCTGTAAGTTAGTGTAGGTTCACCTGTGTGGACGGTTCCATAGAGAAATGACCCCCCCGGAGAAGTCACAGCTCTGCACTGACGCGCGTTCTGCAGGTGGGCGGAATCTGTGTGGCTACTTGTTAAAACTTGACTCCTTTGTCTATGCCACTTCTTATTTTCCTCTCTGGGCTGGCCTTTTTCGCCTTTTTCCCCAGCTTCCTTCTCGTTCCACTAGAATCCAAGAGTTAAATAAGCAATTTTTTAAGATGCCCTCATCAGGCAACGTGAAGCAGTGTCATCGCCAAGCCAGGTGAGCCTTTGAGTGGGAAGAACCTGCAAGACCACGAACGCAGCTGATGAAGAGCAACCGGAAAGCTGGCTCATTCATCAGGCTCTTTTCCTGTTCGGCAATTACTTCAGAATCTTTTTCTGTGGTCAGTTTGTCATCTCTGTGCCGGTTCGTAACCTGTATCTGTAGCTGCCGAGTCTGTGACCAGCACTTCAGCCCGTTAGCTTCTCCACACCTTGCAACCAGCGACAGGCGCAGGAACTGCCCTTCCCTCAGCTGTTCACTGACAGGTGCTCGTCGGCTTCAGTGAGCCGGTCAGTGAAACACCTGCGAGCGCTGCCGTGGGCTGCGACCCTGAGGTTTCCCCACGGTGTTATATTTTTAAATATTAAAAAAGGCACCAAAACAACAGTCAGTTGCAGACTTTCAGGTTTTCCACATAATCATGACCTTGAGGGGTGCTGAACTGGAGCTTTGTGCGAAATTCACAAGCATGACCACGATTTCAAGCAGCGCCGTCTCAGGGTCGCCTCATTGCCGTAAGGAGGCTGCCAGAAGTCTCACTCCCGAGTTAAACCTCAGGAAACCTGTTCTGCGGGAGGAAATCAGCGCCGAAACCCCGCTCTGACTCGGGGGCTCCGGTTTATTCCTAGGACTCCTGAGGATGCCTGTCAATCACAGAAGTTTTATTGCCTATTATATTTACTTTTTAATATAAATTTCAATAAAGCATTCTCTGAGGCTAATGCTCTGTATATTACTACTTTTACCACGTGTGCATCTTCATTTACTTAACTCTAGAGACCCGGGAAGCTTGCAAATCCTACACATCCCAGATTTCGGTACAATAGGTATTAACTCCAAACTCGGGATGCTGACAACCAGCCGTCCCTTTAATAGGCAAGAGCAGGGGTGGCGGGCCACCTGGGCGTGTCCCCTTTGGCATTGACTTGACTGCGAAGTTACTTGGCGGCTGATTAAATGACACATCCATGAAAAGACAAGTCATTTACTCGAAGAAAACATGCATCTCTCGAAGCTGCTCACTGGTAGCTCAAAATCTTACTGTTTGAAAAAATCCTTTTGCGGTGAAACACCTGCTGCATTTCTAGAAATCGCTCAAAGTTACCGTCTCAGAAAGAGCCTCATACGGTTTGCGTGCTGGTATCTCACTGAGCCCCTAATTCTGAACTGGAGGAGACCTCGCCTGGTGGTTCCTTTTCAGTCACCGTCAGACCTGTCACCAGTGTCCCCTAGAAACTGCCCTCCCCAGGTGACTGACCTCACGGCCAAATTTTCCCGGCAGCTTACAGCTGCTCCCGCGCGGGTCCCGGTCCCAGGACGACTCCTGGCGAGACGACCTGTTAACATCGCTCTCCAGAGCCTCTGGCCGCCCGTCCCCACGAGCCGAGACCAAGTGAGCTCATCAGAGGGGTTTGTCCCGGAGACACTGCAGGGCCCGCGGGGTGGGCGCGCACCTGAGGGCGGCCAGCAAGGGCAGAGCGCTCGGACGGCTGCGAAGTGGGTGACCCGCGCGGTCAGGACGCCCCCTGCTCCACAGATGAGGTCCTGCAGCCACAGCTGCAGTGAGCTTGGGTGGGGGGCTCAGCTTTACATTCTCCCCTCTGCCTCGGGGGGACGGGCTTCGTCGCCTCCCTGACAGGCTGCTGGGCAGGTGCATTCAGGTCCCCAGCCCTGTCTGCTTCCCCCAGGTTAACATGGGCATCTCTGCCCTCCTGCCCTCCCTGCTTGGGGTAGGGGCTCTTCCTTTCCTCTTCATAGTGCCTCTTGTGAACCTGGCCAGGGGACTGTCCCCTTTATTGCCCGGGCGTTTCCCCCACCTCTGGTTCTCTCCCAGTCTCTCTCTACAGGCCTTTCTCTGCGGCCTGGCCACTGGGACTCCGGGGGTGCGCTCGGTGGACCCTCGGCCCCCGTCTGCAGGCTGAGAGTTGACTCACCAGCTCACTACGTGGCATCACCTGGGGACACAGACCCTCGTCCTTAGAGGGAGATAAGTTTTCTCAGAAACCATTCCAGTGACCAGCAGGAATCCACAGGATGAAGACACTCAAAACAACGCCTCGTTTATTCAGTGGGGAAACCCTCTCAAAGCCGTCGGCGCTCCACAGCCTTCATCGTGAGGTTCCTGCAAGGACCACTGGCGGCATCTTTGTAAAAGATCCCGCACACGCCCGACTCGCTGACAGCCGCGGCAACGGGTGGTGGCACCCACTGGGTCCGGCTGCCCCTTGTCTGCACGGAGCCTGGCAGAGCCCACGCTCACGTATGCTCGCCGAGTAACCATGATCTGCAATCCAGTTAACAGAAAAGACTGTCCACGTAAAATATTTATAAAGCCTGTGCCTCTGTAACTGTAGAGTGGCGCGTAACCTATAACAGTAACAGGACACGCCGGCAGAAATCGCCTGCATAACCCTCTGGCTTCCTGACGTCTGAACTGCTGGGAATGAGGGAGTGAGCTCGGCCGAGAAATCAGAGCTCTGGCCGGGACCAGGAGGTGCACTGCTCCCTCTCCGGCCCCGTGCAAATCCCGGCTCCGACTCCAGCCAAGAGAGTATCTGACTTTCTTTGCTGCTCTGCCCATGGATCTAAACACCATCAGCATTATCTCTAGGGCATCTGGTTAAAGTGGAAAACAAAACCTAGGCCGCTGAGTAGTGCCGGCCGCGTGGCCGGGGGAGATGTCAGTGTCCTTACAGGAGGAAGTAACGTCGCTTCCACAGGAGAAAGGAGAGAGAGGACTGTGGCTCCCAGGAGGGGGGAGCAGGGGACCAGTGACGGGGCATCACTAACGAGCTGCCTGCCGAGCGTCTCTATCTGCACGGGGAGAAAGTTAATTGGAGCACAGACCCGCCGAGAAGGCGCGAGGCCACCCAGGGGCCACTTGATGGACGCTGTGCTCCGTTAGAAGAAAGAAATGCTGTAAATTAACTGCCGGGCAGGACTGGAAGGAGTGTCCGTCCGCCCCAGCCCCTCCCTCCCCGTGAGGCCCAGCGTTCCTCCTCCACACGACCGAATCCAGGGAGAAGGCGGGACTGCAACTCACCCTCCCCGCTCCAGGATCCAAACCCCCACAGGGCCTGGGGAGCGAGGGCCGCTCCAGGACCCCGGGCCAGAGGCTAAACCGGAAACTCATTCTCACAGGGCGCGAGCCTGGAGGTCTGAGGTCGGGGTGCCTGCGGGGTTGGTCCCTTCTCTCCTCCCCCATAGATGCCTGTCTTCTCTGTTTTCACACGGTCTCCCCTCTGTGAGCGTCGGTGTCCTGATCTCTCCGGGGCCCCAATGACAACCTCGTGACATCACCTCTTCAAAGGCCCTCCCTCCAAATAGCCACAGTCTGAGGGACAAATTCAACCCATAACAGGACCCCACCTGATCTTCACAAAGGCACGTGTTGTGCTGTGTAATTCTGCAACTCACACCCACTCAGGGAAGACCCACTTTGGTCTCTTACACGCGTTCATGAAATTCTATTTTAGACACAGAATTCAGCAGCTTAAAAACCCCTGCCCAAACGAACAGGCAGAAGAAAGAATGAAAAACTCCCGTTCTGTTCCCAACCTCAGACAACGTAAATAATTTCCCCAAATCACGCAGCTGGCAGAGCCGAGAGCCAGCGAGGCCGAGGCCTGCTCTCCGCGCCCTCCCAGGGGTCCCTCAGGGCCGTGATAAATGCCGCCTCCCCCAGAAAAAGTCACCTAAAAGCCCATTACAGAAATGACAAGCTGCAGCCAGGAACAAAATCTCCAGGAGAAAGTAGGGCAGGTGCCAGACTGAGGGCCGAGGGGCCACCGGCTCCTCCTCGGGCCCCCAGCCCGCTTTTCACCCTGCGTGATTCGTGCGTCCTTCCTCCCCGTGTCCACGCACAACGCTCTCAGGAAACTCACTGTGGACAAGCACCTACTTGGGGGGATACATGAGACCCTTTTTTATGCTGTTCCTTGCCCTGCTATGCAGAAAGAGAAATCGGAATTGGTCCCCAAAACAACTTACCAGAGACATGAAAAATAGACTTTCATATTCGCACATGGCCCTGGGTGATTGAAAAAATAAAACCTGCACACGAAGCGTGGGAGATACAGATCATCAAAGTGCCCCCAGCAGCGCAGAGTAACAAGACCCTTAACTTGCCAGGATACTCAGGTAAGGAATGTGTGTATTAATATAATTCTCCAGTGAAGTGAAACCACCCAAAAGCGATTATTTTAGCCCTCAAAAAAGTATGTCATCTTACTCTTAAAATGGCTATAATACTCTATCTTTAAAAATTTCAATCACTTCCAAGCCTGACTGTGACAGATTAGCAAGGACTCGACGTGCCCGCCCACCGGAAACGACTAGAAAACGACAAGATGTGCTGACCGGGGCTTTCCCGAACTCGGCCAGAGCGGCGTGGAGCCCCCACGCACGGCACAGGGACCCGGCCTCCCCTGCTCTTACGGCCAATAGGCGCTCTCTCCGTTCTTGACTCTGCCTGTCTGTTTACGGTCTCTCTGCACATCTCGCAATACGTGGTCCACAACCACAGCTGAACAGGGCGAAGCCACGTGAGCCCAGGCTGGCAAGGCCGTGTCCCGGGATCGGACCGGCCACCCCCGGTCGACGCTTACATACGTATAATGACAGTTTCCTCCCAAGCTGTCCAGAAAGTCCTCAGAGCGAATTACTCCAGAAATACAGGTGGGTAAAAAAAGGAAAACAGAATTTTATTCTTAAAATAGAGGCTTAGGAAACAAGATTATTTCTCTGAACTGTATTATCATGTGAAGGTTTTCGTTTGTTTTTTATTTCTCGGCTCAGGTTCAACAGACGTCACAAAGTCAACTCTGATAGTCGATTACCGTCACCTCTCCCCACCCTCTACCCCCCGCCGGTGTCAAAAGATGTGACGAGAACTGAAGTTCCAGTGAAAGACGCCGACTGTGATGAAAGCGTCTGCGGAGACGATCGCAGGAGAGTCTGTTTCAATAACCCTCCGGCCGTGTGCACAGTGTGGACACGGGGTTTAAACTCAGGCCAGTGCCCCTCCAACTCTAATGAGAACGGAGCCAAACGCCGATCGGCAGGTCGCTGCTCCCGGGGCCACGAGAAGTCCGCACACACTCCGTTCTGGGATGGGGGTGCACGGAGGCCACTGGGGGAGGGAGCCACAGCCCGGGCGCGTTGGGCATTCCTCCTTCTCCCCGAGTTCGGAGCGCACTGAAGGGCAGTGCACCGGGGACAGTCCCTGCGGATCAGACCCTCTGCCCATCTGCCCCCGGCAGAAACGCACAGTCATCGCCCCGACCACGTGGCTGACTCAGGTCAAGGACGAGCCTCCCCAGCGACGGGCGGTTTGGAAAGACAAGGAACCAGGAGGCACTGACCTGGGCCGAGAGCTGCTCCTGGTCCCGGGAAGAGAGGAGTGACGGGCGGAGACGCGGAGGGAGTGGCCCGGGTTCTGCTTTCCTTTCAGGAGGCGCCGTTGGAATTATTCATGTCTGTGGAAATAAGAGTAGAAAATAAATGTTTGCTCTAGTTCCTAGCGGTTCTAATACTCATTTCAACACTTCCAACAATACTGTGACGTAGGTATTTGTGTCTCCGTTTTATAGGCAATGAAATGAGGCCCAGAGAGGTTACATAACTGGGTGAGGTCACACAGCTATCGCGTGGTGGGCGCGAGGTTCAAATCTGAGTTTGCTTGAACCGAAACACTCCCCCTCCTGCCGTGTTTATGCCACATCAGCGTAGG